CCCCCCCCCCCCCCCCCCCCCTTTCTCTGCCTTTGCCCATGGCTCTCACTTGCACTTCGTTCTCCTCCACAGTTTTGCCCTCTCCCAAACCGTCCCCCTTCCCCTTCCACTGGATGTGGTTCTTGGAGGTCTTGTGGATCAAGCCGATCCCCTCCAGGACATTCGTGATGTCATAAATACGCCGCTAGTAGGTTGTCGGGCGTAGCGCGGTGGGAGGGGGCGGGGCGGNGGGGGGGGGGGGGGGGGGGGGGGGGGGGGGGGGGGGGGGGGGAGGTGTCAGAGAGAGAAACGGGGAGGGCAATATGTTTTTCGAGGAATTTCGCTGGGGGGGGTGGAATTGAAGGGGGACGTTCCTGTGCAGCACGTTTTCTTGTCAAGGAGGAAGTGTGATGTCACGCCCACTACTGCTGAGAATGTCCCCTCATAATGCCTCGTAGATTGTGACGTCAGACGACCTGTGGGTGATCTACAACCTTCGGGGGTGCTGTCACAGATAGAGCTAGCGGACACGCTGAACCCGCATACGAATACAACGGGCCAGCTGCCGCGTCTCTCACAATCCATATCGTACACCGCGTGCTCCCTTTCTCAAAGAGAGGCTGAACCACGTGTGTCCTTCAACATTGAGCCGCAGCGCGAACCCGGAGACAACCGTCTCAATAGTTAGCCCCGGCAGCAAGGCCAGGGTCGCGGCACATCCAGCTTGATGACAATGCGCCAGCAGGAGACCAAGCTTCTCCACACCGCGGAGGTGCGACCGAGCGCAAGACCTGCTGCTGTTGCCGCTGGACGGTGGCAGCGGAGACTTCATGAGGGAAGGCTTGCGCCCAACAATAATCGCACGGAGGTACGCCTTGACCTCCTGCCTGCAGACCGCCCGTCACGTCTCCCGACGTCTTTAGAGCCCGCGGAAGCTCTTGCTCAGGCCGACCATGCTACGTAGGCTAAAGGCGACCCCGAGCATGAAGCTTGACCAAGAACGCGACCTCTTTCGCCGCATCCTCGGTAAAGCTTCGTGGTCGGAAAGTCCCTCAGCTTCTGTAGCGTGGTAGGTCGGTGCAAGAGTGTACGGAGGCTCTACAGACGTTGGAAGGCATGGCGTCCACTCTACGGCGTCGTTGCCAACCTGCTCAAGCTCTTGCCCAGGCAGTCATGCTACGTAGGCTAAAAGCGATCCTGAGTATGAACCTTGACCAAGAGCGCGACCTCATCGCCGCGCACTCGGTCAAGCTTAACGTTCGGAATATCCCTCAGCTTTTGAAGCGTGGTTTGCATAGGTCTTGAGCAAGACCTGCGGTAGGTTCTAGAGAGACCTCGGGAGACATAACGTCCACTTAGAGCATGCCGGAGGTCTTACTCAGGCCAACCACGCTACAGACCCTGACGAATCGGCCAGCTTCCGTGCCATGGCCGGCCTGAGCAAGACCTTCAGCAGGCTCCAAGGCAGACGTCGGTAGACACAACTAGCTGTCTGCAGGGAGGAGGCAAAGACCTACCTCCGCGCGTTCCGTCTAGGGCACGAAACTCTTCCCGCGGTCACCATCCAGTGGCAACAGCAGCAGGTCTTACACTCGCAAGCACCTCCGCGGTCTGGAGCCGCTTCGTCTTCTGCTAGAGCATCGCCCATCAGGTGTTTCATCATCCGCTGCCAGGGCAGACATCGTACGACGGCGGGTGTTCCACCCACCACTCTCTCGTCCGTTGTGGTGCAATCTACTGAAATACAACGTTACAGGTTGCACCCAATGCTGCTGCAGCCGCTGTTCGATGGACATAAGCGTACCATAGCACCGTGAACGTAATTGCAGAGGTATACAACACTTGAGACGGATTTGATAATTAGGTCAGAACTCTTGAATATCATAGACCCAACAAGCCATTGAGAGAGCTCAGGGACAACTGAACCACAGCACCATGTTGCGAAAAGCTTCAGCACTATGAGGACAAGAGACGCTATTATCGGGAAAAACTTCCAACGGAGGAAAAGCCAAAACACCCGACATGCCACAGCTGACATCTACCAAGCGCTTCGGAATTTCACCAGCACTTCGGCCGAAGGTCCACCAAATTGGCCAGCCAAAAGTTGACGAGCTTCCGCTGGTTCTTTCTGGTACACCATTCCGAAGATACCAAGAGAGTCGTGTAAAACTAAGGCGTCCGTTTTTCCCTGCCAATCCACCGCCATCGATCGATTAAGCTGGTCAATTTCCCGCCTCCCCTGCCAAGGGCAAACCTCCAACCTTGGCGAAAAATTCGGGCAACGTGGTTGTCCGTGTGCAACTCTTACTCTTCCGCACACGCCCCAGACCTTTCTCATTCCTCCTCCCCCCCTCGGTGTTCCACACTGCAACACCTCACACACACCTTCTGAACCTCCAGATCCTTAGCCGCCGCGTTGAGATCCAGCGTGCCCCCCGGGGCGGCCTGGATCAGGTCCACGAATCTCCTCGTCAGGAGCCCCAGAGAGCTGTCAAACCGGGTCAGCGCCCCCGCGCAGTCCCCCGCCCCCGCCCCCGCCCCCGCCGCCGTGTAAGATCCTCCCCCCCTGCCTGCAGTGCCCGCGCCCGTCTGGCCCCTGGTCCTCAGCCCGATCTCTCGGCTTGGTCGGCCGGAGGCTGTAGTGGAGGAGGAGGAGGAGGATCGCGTGCTGCCGCAACTACCGCCTCCGCCGCTGCCACCTGCCCCGAGCATGCTTGCTGGTTTGGGTGCGGAGTACGAAGACTGTCGCGAACAGATCGCCGCGGCTACTGCCGATGACGATGATGCTGCCGCTGCCGCTGCAGACAGCCGCTTCTTCTTCGCTGAGAGCAGCAGAAGAGGGATACGGGAAGGGGCGACGGCTAGGGGATCAATGATGTATCGTTCTCGAAGACAAGGGGGAGGGTCGTTTCAAGCTCGACAGCAAAAACGATTTGGATCGGGGTTACCTCCTATCATACGTTTTCTCGAATGCAGCAGGGTTGGCGAATAAAAAATGTATCGGCATTCTAGCACGGGAGGAGGCCATCGGTGTTTATTTTGTGGCAAGAGATATTGGCAAGCAAACTCGAACACACATACACACGTTGGCGGGGCCCAAAACGTGTTGGGGCACCATGCTGAAGAATAATACTGCTAAGGAGGCTCGGGGCAAACACTATGGCTAAAGACAAGGAAGGCCCGGTGGTGCGATCGTCCCCCCACCCTCCTCGTTCCACCCCGCCGCCCCCATTCCCCCTGTCACAACACATTTCATGGATCGAGAAATATCGAAGTAGGTTGTACTTCGTAAACGATACTACACCCCCTGGATAGATTTTCAAAGCTTTATTTCTCTGGGACACATACAGCGACGGTGCCATAAATGTCGTATGGATCATTTGGTTTTGGGTTCGTCGCGGGGTCATCGAGCTTCGAAAATCGGCCGCAGGGGGTGCGGTATCGAATGCAACCTACTGCATTCACAAAACGCACGCACACACACCGAGAGTGCCACCTAAGTAAGGATCGACGTGGAGGAAAAGCAAGTGCATCTAGTGTGTCGTGGTTTTTGTTTTAAGTAGGCAACAAGAGAGAAGATGGAGACCACCGCCGAGCAGCAGCCTTCTCCTTAGAGGAGAAAAGCGCAACTCGAAAAACGTTCGACCGGCGTGGCAACGTACGGAGGCTTTGGGCACGACTTCACGCCAAACTTTGATGACGTATGGGAGAGAGGGGATGAAAACGAAGCCTCATTGGCCGAGAGGAAAGAGTAGACCCACACACGAGTCCTACGAGTCTACTTCTCTCCTGTCATGTTGAGCACCGCTCAACCTTTTCGTGACTGGGATGATTTGACTCTGTTTTTTTTTCCTTCTCACAACTTTGCTTCAAGACCTTACATGACATTCGTGTATACACACAAAAATCACGGAGGCAAGGGCGGTGCATCAGTGAGGTTGAGTCCATGTGTGGGGCTCCCAGGGAAGGGGCACCCGCCTATCTATGTACGGGTGACGAACAGGAGTAGTACGAGGAGAGTGCAAGATTACAGTAGCAGTATGAGAGCACGTGCACGTCTCTCTCTGATAACCGTCCGCACAGAGGATGTACCTATGCAAGAAATAGCAATATACCTGGTGACACGAGGGCCTTCTCATCCCTGGACGGAGGATGCGGCAAGCGGCAAGCGCACTACTATTAGCAGCGCTAGATGCGAAAACGTCGAAATGTCGCCGCTATTCAGGGCAGGTCGCTAAACCGAACTAACAACAATATAGTCGAGCGAGGCAGTTCTACCGGGACGCGGCGGTGCCAGGTGATTTTGTGGTCGCTAAACAGGGGTCGCTAAACTGAGACCCACACGCTGTATCGGAACTTCAAACTGAATCGGACCTGTAGTCACATCCAAGTACCTGACCTCGTAGGGCTAAGAGAAGCGCGTACATGTCATGTTCGACTACTGCTGCTGTGGTCATGCTGGGGCTAGCTGATGAACCCGGTGCTCGTTGCCCTCTATGAGTGCCAACGTGCCTACTCTACCGAGGTGTTTCAACGCGTGACTTTGTGCCTCTCAGTCTCGTATCAAATCTCTGCCAAGTTCCAAGACGCGACAAATTGTGCTTGTTCAGTCCAATATACTCTCTCAAGCGGAACGGTTGTAATAGGTGTACTTCAATGTTCTCGGCTGATGCCTTCGCCAGATTTGTCTCATTTCTCAAACAATAGTGGTGTGGGATCTTAACCCTTTTGGGTCTACAGGCGTCCTGACAGATCATTGAATGGTCATTTGTTTGTAAATGCTGATGTTGTGGCATGCCATGGAGTTGCCGCCCTGTATCCCTCCACGCCAGGTGTTGGCAAGTCAGTAGGTAGGTGTGTCTTTATTATTCGCATCGACCGCGCTACCCGGTGGCCAATGAAAAGACGTTAGTGCCAGCGGGAAATATCAAGGTCCCTGGAAACGGCCAAAACTAGAAAAATGCACACTGCTCTAAATGCGAACAATACCACCATGGATCTCTCCCCATATCCTTTCACAGACACACATCAAAAGCTCCACATGCACGCCCTCGCCCGAACCTAGGAAGCCAATAAAGCAAAGACAGGAGGACAGCGAAAAGGGGCACTTCAAGCCCAAACAGGCCAGGATATCGTGGTATGCTGCATATGCTTCCAATTCGAAAATCGTACACTCCCAAGATCCAGTACAGTCATCATGTCTGCGGCTATTCTACACAGCAGCAGCCGTATAGAGTCCAACATACAGCAGTAGGTAGTAACACATACACTATCAGCATAGCCCCACACATACCCTCGGCCGAACCCAGAGAGCCACTAGTGCAAAGGTAGGTGTGTGCTGGTGTGTGCTTGCGTGCTTGTGGGAATCATGGGAAAATCACAGGAGCTGTAGTGAGCCGGCAGGGCTCACATTGGGGAGGGGAAAGAGAAGCACACAAGTAAAGAACCAGCTATGGGTCTACAAGCCCTCTCACTGATCATTTTCACTGATTATTTTTGTTGATGATTTGAATATACTGAACATAGAGAAGTTCAGGCGGCTTGAATGATCTTTTCGAGTTCTACAAGCCTAAAACTGCGCTACTGGCCGCATCGCAACCACATCAACCCTTCTATGATCCTGGCTGTGTCCACCGTCCTGTCGCGGGCAGCCCTCATGGCCTATGGGTGGAGACAGCTGTTGCGTCTACAGAAGTACACTCGTCTTCTCTGCTGTACTTCTGTCTCTCCCCGCACTCTCCTCCCCCCCCCTTTTTTTGCCGCAAAAAAAAAAAGAGCTAGACCCAAAGGGGTTAACGAGAGCACAGGGCCACACTTTTCGTACGAGACGCTCGACGGGAGGTGATATTAGGCATCACATCGGTGATATTTACTGCTGTAGATCTATGGTAGGCAAAAACGACTTACTTAAGTCGCATGTGCTGCTCGGCCCACGCGAAAATCCTCAGCACAGCAGCGCTTGCTGCGACATGAAAGCATGAGAGCCCTTCGCAGCGAAAACCAAGTAAACCGAATGCATCATCTACTACTGCTGTACCCACGATAGATCCCTTCGTGTCAGGTTTGTGAGTCCCTGTGGATAATGACATCGAGAAGCGTTCACGATTCTATGTATGCGTACGGCAGGTGGATAGAATGCTGCCCTCTCGAATTACGTACTCGTTGTCCACACAGCACGCGGCGGACACAAGCTGGATCGACGCAAATGGCGTCTGGAGACACACAAATCCACACTAAAGCATGGGAAGTAGGGTGTGTGCCAAGCAACGGATGGTACGCCTTTGGCAAGACGGAGGTTCCGTGAACGCACTCGGGTGACGGAAGATTGAACCAAGGGCGTCAGCAGCAGTGCTGCCCATGTGGATCGCTCTGCTCTTGCAAGACCCAACCGCAGCGCGGACTCAGCAAATTCCCTTGTTGACACCAAGAGGATACACCCTCAAAATGCGGCGGTGTAGGGAAGACGCTCGCTGAGAAGAGAAAGGGTCACGCGCTGGGGTATGTGTATCGTCGAGTCCTGCCTGCCGCTCATACTCTCCACGCGGCGGCGGCGCGGGCGACGGCGGCCGGTAAAAAGGTGGAATCCGCCGCCTCCAGAAAGAGACAGCAGCCGGGCTGCACGCGGCGAAGAGAAGAGGGGCTGCCAAGCACGATCCACACACAAACACGCACATACCTGGTCTAGGTCCTCCGCCACCCGCCCCCGCGCCTGCACAGCGTGCTCCCGATTGGCTAATCCTGTAGCCGGCTTCTCTCCCTCCGGGAGACCGGGCTGCTGTGGGTCTGTAACCCTAACCCGTAGCTGCCTCTTTCTCTCTCGACGTTTCGAAGCCCTTGTAGCTGCTGGTTTTGCAGGTTGAAGGTGCGGTTGTTCCTTATTCTCTCCCTCCTTCCTCCCCAGCTTCTGATCACCACTGCTCCCGGTGCAACCCCCCCTCCTTGGCCAAGGTTGAATGGCACTGATTCTGGAAACCGTCGCAAGGCTGCTTCGTCGAGGCTGCTGTCAACTGATGTACCCTTGTGTGGGTCACTGCGCGGTTGCTTCCTGTTGCTTCCAAGAACTACCCCCAAAAGTTTGCCCGCACACCGTCCACGCACGTTGAAGAAGTTGGCGCAGCGATCCGCCGGACTCGGTGCTTTCGAGAGGACGCTCAGCGGGAAATCCAAAAGGATCCGGCAGGTCCTACTTCTCACCAGCCGCGCGCACAGGTGCGTGTGCGCACACATCCCATGGTCAACCGTCAACCAGAGAGAGGTGGGTTCGGGGCTCGCTGGATGGAGAAGAGACAACTTAGGGGGGAAGTGGAGGGGGGGGGGTCGTGGGTCGTGTGTGGCATACACACACACAATCAATCCACCGGCCAACGGCAGCCGGGCAGGTCCACCAGCGTCCCGGTGTCTTACTTGTGAATCGCAATGGATGCGGCCGACCTTGGCCAGTACAACAGGACCAGGATCAGGCGCGCGAAGCGTCTGGTGGCGGATTTCTTCAGCAACCTCGATGCCTTGGCGAAAGAGGCCCCCAACGAAGCCGAACTGGTGCGAGTGGATACGATCTTTCCAGCCCTGCGAGTAGGCCATGACAGCACGCACGTACATCGTTCACTGACACGCGCGCACACGCGCCCTTGCGTGTCGAGTGGTACTGTTGTCACTGGCGTCATGTAAGGAAGAATCACAGCTGTATCGTGCGCACGTTTCGGGAGGGAATATTTTCCTGCGAAAACTTGTAGTCTAACGGCGGTCAGACAGCAGCAGCAGTCTCGGTCGTCTACAACATACATGTACAATAGTCATCGTGTAGCCTACAAAGTCGATAGTTTTAGTTCTCGTAGACTGTAGAGCCTAGGCAACTTGTGGTGGACTAATACCTACTTTAAACAACAGCACATCTTCAATGTGTGATCGGAGACGAGGCCATTAGCTCGGGCAAACAACCTGAGAATTGAGAACACTTGCGGTATTTTCCGATCTCGTGTCGAGCCAAAGCCGACAAGACCGCACCAGGTAAACGTGCATTGTGGTTCACCTAAATAAATTACAACCTCGTTGTTTCTCGAATAGACTATGTAGACTATGCATACTCTTTGTAGAATTTCTCGTCGTCTCGAATTCTTTGAACATATTATCCAGCTGTTCTGTGTGATACAGAAATCGTGCTTGCGCAGCAGTCTCACTCTTCTTGTTTTATTCGAACTGGGTAGGCCCGTTTGGAGCAGGAGCGCATTGCCGCCCTTGTTGCAGGGCGGCAACAGCGAGAGGCAAAGCTGGTAGGGGAGTTCGACAGCGATGAGATCTATAACCCCAGCGACGAAGACGTGCTGTCCATGCGCCAGGCGCAGCGCGAATCTCGCCGTCGAATCAAGGCTCTCTGCGAAGGTCGGAAGCGCGCCGACTGTGTATCGCTCGTCACTGACGATCTCATCCGAGAGCTTCAAACCTATCTCACGAGGTAGGAACTTGTGTCTTGTTGAAGGCATTCCGTAGCGCACGGTGTGTGTGGTGGCAAACACAGCAGTGCACCGTATGTTAACATGTTTTTCCCGAGACCGGTACGGGCGTTTCCGCAAGTATTGTTGTTTGTTGTTGTTTCTCACATTAAGAGTCCACAAGAAATGTGGAGCCCGTGGTCTCAAAACCAGGCACATACGACGCCGCGGGGAAACAAAACAAAAATAGGGTACAAACCACTCGGAACAAGAAAACAAAATGACGGAAAGAAAAGAACAGGTATCGCACCGACCGTTCGAGAAGAGAGCCCTCGGAAACCGATCAAAATATAACAAAAACAAAAACAAAGGAGGACGCTTCCCACACCCGCCCAAAGAAAAATCAAAGGGTAACGTACCAGCACCAGGCACTACGCACCAGGGCATGGGAGTAACGGAGCCAACAGGACAAATAGGCGGCAGATGGGCAGACAGCCAGGCGTACAAAAACAAAGGCAACAGCAAAGCGAGATCACGGTACCCAACACAGCAGAGTAGGCAGGGAGGTCATGAAAAAAACCCCACAGAAACACAGCACAGAGGCCGAAGGCAATACAAAGGACATACATGAAGGAGTATTTCATACAGCAGGGAGGGAAACAGGGCGCAACAGCATCAGCCAGGTACATAGGTCGCCACAAGTGCTGCCTCGGCCGCCCTATTCGCTTCTACAGCAGTGCCCGGTCGTCGTTTCTTCCCCCCCACCGCCGCTTCCCCGGCTCTCTTTCTCTACGGTCCTGAGGCCGTACTCTCTGCTTCTGCTTCCCTCGCCCGCTGGCATGTCCGGGCTCCATTTCTCTCCAAAGCTGGATGCCCCTTTGTCCTCTGCGAGCGAGTACCCGGCATGTACTGCTGTAAGCATGTGGTTCTTCCGAGCGGTGTACTTGTGAAAAATTGATTGTCCCGGCCAAACTCGCCCCTTGTGTGTGCTCACGTAAACACGTTAACCCAACCGTAGCTGCAGCATTTTTGTCGGCTTTTTGAAGCCTGGGCGGACTATTGCGGAAGTTATGTGCCCATCATCGAACGGCCAGCATGTCCAAGCCACTGTTCGAAGAGACGGAGACGTGCAACGGCAAGACCCTGAAGCCATACAGCAGGCTTTGACTGCTTCAATTGTGAGGCAAAAACAACAGCAACAGCAAGTTGACAACGCTGATGTCACCTTTAAGGTTGGGACGCTGGATCAAGGCGAAGAGCGTCCCTGGGAGAGTACGTCTGCGGGTGACGGTCAACTACCCAATCCCGACACTGTTTTCAAATGTGTCGACGCGGAGACGGCGGTTGTGGTCGGTTCTTCGGCAACCGAACGCGAGGAAAGATTTGTGGGACATGCGGGTGCCGCGAAAGTTTCAACATCAACTGAGGCGGTATTTGATGAAATAGGAATAGAAGCTATTAACCCTAACAGTCGTGGGGCGGATCAGGACGAACGTACTGCCTCAACCCCTTCCCTGCAAGAGGGGGATGCTAAGCGGGAACAAGCTTCGAAATCGAAGTCCTCCGTCAAAAGGTGTCCTGCTACTGACGATACAGGGTACGCAACGGGGGCTCAGCGTACTGCATCATCGAGAATCGAACACGATGCTGAGAGGCTGACCGACAATAGCAAGGCAGAACCCGAGGAGCTCCAGACGAAGATTCCCCGAAGAGACGAAACGCAGTCGCCACCACCTCTGCCTCCCGGCACAGCGGCGGCTTCTCGGAAACCTATTCCAGGTCCAGAGTCTGAAGTTATCCGGCCGCAGGTCTGTGTGCCTCTCGTAGGCGCTGGAGACAGTGGGTGCATAGGAATGGTGGGGGCGCAAGGGTTCACGACAGGGGCGTTGGTCGGTGATGATAGCTGGCGGGACTGGTTCATGCACCGGATGGAACCGCTAAACCGAGGCGAGAACCGAAACGTGAAAAGGCTGAAACTCGTTCGGCCGAGAGGGTTGCCGGATTTTGGAAAACTTGAAGACGTGCCAACCGGGACCGCTGCTAAGGTGGTGTACGGGTCTGTGGAGAAGATATCGCGCAAGCGCGGCATGCCTGTGTATACAGTGAGGTAGGAGGAGGGAGGGCATGAGCGGAGGACGAGGACGGCGCAATAGAGATGCCGCTGACATGCCTTAGAAGTGGTGAACCCATACGCAATGGCATCAGTGTAACGGTGCACTTTGGTAGGCGAATGCTGAACACCGGAAACATTAAGAAGTGTGCGCCTCTCTGTCCGCGATCTTACCTGGCCACAAAGGGTGGGGAGGGAAGCCTTGTACGGCAATGCGGAAAGATGTTCCGAACGTGCCCAATAGCACCGAAGTACGTTCGAAACACAGCACTTGTGCGTTTTGGTTGGTTGGTTGGCTTTGTGTACGCACCCTGTCCGTAGCCCCCCTCAAAATTCTGCACTTCGAGCTTCGTTCACATTCTGTTGACTTTATGGAGACTCGCACATTCGCTGGGTATCGTACAACGGCGAGCATATCCTGTGCGCGTGTTTGCGCTGTCTTCCCGCAGTGACATCTGGAGTAAGACACGAACGTGATCGACTCGTCTGATGCGTTTCACCAGGATCGCCATGCTCCAATCTTACGTGATATAAGCGTTTGACAAGGAGTCGTGTGTGGCGTAGGATCACAGGCACAAACTAACATTTCTGCCGTTGTCTACATCTTGTTTATTCCAACGCTACGCTTTCTAGGTGGGAAGACGGGCTTTTGCAGCTCAATGTCCCCAAGAAGTACATGCGCCAGGTAGTCGCCGAAGATGACGCAAGCGCGGGAAAGGGCGTCCCGCTTACCGCCGAGGTCGTGGAACACCTGACGTGGATCGGAAAAACGGTGGGGCCTGTGCTGGATGAGGTCAGGAAGGCTATTCATCTTACTCATCTGGCAAAGGTGAGGCCACCTATCACGTGACGTGCGCTACTGATATAGTGAAACCGAGTAATGTTTCGAAAAGAGGGCGACAGAGAGCAAACAGAAAACTCGGGAGGTCGAGTTGAACAAGGCAATGAGGGGCGGGTAGTCGCTGTTACGTCACCTACCTGTACCCCATTGGTTCTCAATTTTCTCCGTGGCACAATGGATGGCGCAGAACTGTAAGGCTATCAATCGTTCTGCCGCTTCGACTTCCTACGTTGTCTCTGCAGGTAACGGTGGCCGGGGACACCCGGTCCCGAGACGTCCTAGAACTAGCCTTGCTATCGCTCGTCGAGTGCCTGCCGTCGATCGACTTCGCGGAAGTGTGGCAGTTGGACAACGACGGCAGTATTCGCTGCGTCCAGGGCCTGATCGCCACGGCAGGCGAAGGAGGTCGAAAGTACTATCGTTCCAACGAGCGCGTCGACAGCCTCCTGCATGATGAGGATGCCGAAGAGTTCAGCTTGAAGATGGAGCCCGAGCCTATCCCGGACGCCGCTATCAGGGGCACGGGAGCCGAAACCACACCGCCAAAGACGAACAGTTACGGAAAACGGGAGAAGAGAAAACACAGGGCAGCCGCGCCCAACCACGCCGTGCACATTCCGAAGGGCCTCGTCATTCGGCCGAAGATGACGTGCGGGGTACTAGCAGCAGCGCCGTTTCGCGACTATAGTTTCAAGGTGGGAAGATCCTGGATCGGTGCAGATAGGCTAGCGCGCGGCTTTGCGCTTGTCCTTCGGACTAGGGTGCCAAACAATGGGCGCGCGAACGGTGCGGTGGGAAAAGACGGCGGCAAGGCCGAGGGCCGAGCAAGTGACGATACTAGATCCCCTGAACGGAGCGGTGGCTGGAGTAAAGCCGGAGGTCCGGCCGCAACAATTACACAGCATGATGGACTTCCAATCAGCAGCAGAAATGGTAGTGTCGAAGATGGTGCCTTCGCAGCCCGCGTTGCCAGCGAAGTAGGCGTTGCGCTGGCCTGCGTGCGAGGTAGAGAACGACGAGCGGCGATTCGGGCGCAGGCGCTCAAGAAACTATCGAATGTGTGCCTGAACGGCAAGCCTTCCGGAAACGAGGCGAAGGAAGCCGTCCTGACCGAGATTTCCAAGGTGCTCCCGGGATGCCGCGCGTACGTCGGTGTGCTTCAATCGGGTGGACACGCCTTGCTCTACGAGGCGGCCACCCCCAATAGCGCGATGAAGGGGAGAGAGCTGCGTCGGGGCGAAGGTGTCAGCCTAAGCTGCCTGGATGACCCCGGTGGAGAGATCCGTGTGATACAGCACCGCGAAGGCATCGCGTCCAGGATGGACACGGGCGCCCCAGAGCCAGTCAGCCTCCAGGAAGCCGCGAAGGAAGGCGGGCCGAAGCCGCCGAACTTTCGCGTGGGTGACGTTGTTGAGGTGTGGTATGCCTCTTCGTGGCTCCCCGCAACGGTCGTGCGGGCATGGGGGCACCAGTGCTACGACGTGAGGTACGAGCAGTTCAGGGACACGGAGGCGGGAGTACCGGGGTGGCGGATGCGAGAAGTGATTACCCTGGAACACCTCGACGTGAAGCTTTGCTGGGAAGGGTCATCGGAACAGGATGGGAGCCACGATGTAGACGAAGACCGCCATGCCAGTGATCGAAGCAGCAAGGCGTGGCCGTGGCCGTTCGTGTGCGCACCCCTACGAAGCTCGGGGAACCGGGTCGGGGTGCTGGGGGTAGACGGGTGGAGTGACGTGGAGCTGGGGCGACCAGACGAGGTTCACCCGGATAAATCGGTGGTGAAGTTTATACGCGAAGCCGCAAACTTGCTCGCCGGCGCCCTCTACACAGAGCGGCGAAACAGAGGCCTATCTGCACTGGGGAAGGCACTCAGAGAGCAAGATACAACACAGAATGGCGCGCTGGAGGCACTCCTTGTACTGCTGCGAGAGACGATCACATTTCGCACGCGAATAGACGTGCTCGAGACTCGTGCTTCTGACCCAGGAGCCGTGTACTGCCGTGGGACGTGGCAGCAGAGCTCCTCCGAGAAAGAAAGGGGGTCGGGGATAGGGCAGCGGGACCCAGGGCCACAAGCCCCGGCGCGCGTGTTCGATGTAGGCGTTGCCCCTCGTGTGGAGGAGCTGTGCCTCACACCCGCTCAATACGTGCGGTTGAGCAATCATGATAACCGGGGTGGCGGGGGACCCTTGTCTCTTCATGAACAGACTCAGCAGTCCCTTCTCCTGAAGGAGATCACCCCCTACCAAAAGGAAATGCATTGCATCGCGAGAGACGGCTTGGGCGCAACAAGCGGCCTGCAAGCCAAAGCGCTTACCACACCCGGTCGACGAGGAGAAATTGTTGGTCGATTCCAACGTCTGTTAGTTCGAGCCGAGGGAGGCCGGCCGTCCGCCGACGGCTGGTACTTCATTCGAGTGGCTCGGGCCCTGCCAGAACACATATCACTAGAGTCATTCGACACGACAAAGAAGATCAAATCGACACTGAAAGCTACCAAGGCGCGAGGAGTATCTGCTGCCAACAATCCGGCCGTAAGCACCGAGGACGGTGACATATGGCTGCTGTCCGAGATGTGCCGTAAACTTGAGATTGGATTTATGGCCATCGCGAGTCGAGAACAACGTGCCCTGGTCCGCGTAAAGGCTATGGATAGGGTGCTAAACTGTTGCAAAGGTTTCAAGGTCGCTGCTGCTGCGGCGCCGTCACTGACGGCCTCCAAGAATTCAGTCGCTGATGACCACTCGAGGGACAGGGCGGCAAGAACTAATGCATCGTCAACGATAGTCCGTACGAGTGGAGGTAGCAAACCAGCAACAGGCGCCCTCGATGGGCCAGGCACTACGAGGGGAGCCCTGGCAACGGTAGACACACCAAAAGATAAGACGGGGCAAAGGGTTTCAAAACGGAGTAGAAAACCAGGCACAAGCGACAAAAAGGACGTTGACAGCCCTGCGTCGGCTACTCTTGCGACAGCGACGGAGGAGACGGGGGATTCATCAAGCCCCAGGGTATCTGCTGCTGTGGCGGTGGCGACCGGAGACGAGACAAAGACGAGCAAGAGGGCCACCCAACACCTGATGTTTTCGACACCAGTGCAGGCGGCAACCCCAGCCGAGACCGTCGACGGGCGGAAAGGAGCGCTGGTCACGCTGAAGGATGGCAGGCTTGCGGTCCTAGTTCACCAGGGAGACAAGAGGGTGGCGGTGGTCGAGCAGCCAGGAGGGCGGCAACATACTTTGCCGGAGAGTGAGGCAAGTCGAACAATGCTAAAAATGTGGTCTGCTTGTCTAACACGGTGGTCGAGCGTCTTCAAAGAAAGCACAACCTCGATGTATCTACGTGGCGGATTGTTTCCATCAATGTCAGCTTCGGCGGTGGTTGCGCCGACAAAGTGGGTTTGGCGAGCAGGTTGGCTGGCAAAAAACATCCCAGAAGTTAAAAAGTAAAATCTCCCTAATTGTCAACACAAAGCTGTAGCTCCAACCCAAGGCGTTTGGCGATGGCTTCGCCGTGCTTTGCCGTATGCATAGTTGGATCGATAACTTGCCGAGCCTAATCTGTTTTCCGGTGCAGACGCCCGCCTCGTCTTAATATTAGTATCTCCGATATGGCCATATCCTCAGCCGTGTTCGGGACTATAGATCGCGTCTAATGCCTCAATCCGATCTTGCCTGACCTCGGCTCACCTGGCCTGCGGGTCGCTTTTGCTGTCGGGTGGTTCGTTACAGGTGGTTCCAGGACAAACGGTATTCCTGCAAAGCGGCCGAGAAGCTCTGCTGGTAGAAACCACCGACAATTCGAATGCTCTGTTGGTAGTCAGCACGAGTGGGACCGCAAACGTTGTGGAAGAAACTGGCAAAGGGAAACTTTCAAAGCTGCCGTTGTCGGTGCTCAAGGATCTGGACGCCGTCGCTGCTCTCGCAGTAGGAGAAAGGCCGCCGGGGGCAATTCACCGAGCGGAGCTGATCAGACAGGTGGGAGGGCGACTGACTGCCCACCCCGAAAAACGTACGCTTCGCTTCGAGTCTTGGCCACAGAGTATCATGATCAACGTACGTTGGTTAGATATGAAGGTGACCGTTTCGTTTCGGGTTCGGTGTGCCTTTAGGGGGGGACATACCTCTCGCACAACTCTGTAACACTCTGATAAGGAGATAAGGCGTTGTCTCAATCCTTTCCGTAGCTCAGCATCCCACGATTTTGTCCAGTACAACGGCAGATCGATCGTGTTGTCTTAACGCGCTTTGAGCGTCCCACAACTTTCGTTTGTCGAATACCGACACTACGATAATGAGCACAACATAATAACACTGCACGTTGAACACCAAGTTGTCTCATCGATGACGACACGGTATCTCCAGCAGGCGCGTAAGACCGCGAGTTCTCCCCAATTCCCTCTCTTCTCAGCCGGTGCTTCGCCCGGCAATACCTCTATCCAAACGTTCTTGCTGTATTTTGAGTTCCTTAAAGCAGGAATATCGCAAAACCTTTCTTCGCCCTTTGTTGCCTCATCACACCCCCCCGGTAAAAACACCGACGACGACGACGGGCACAACAAGGTCATCGCCTCCACGCAGTGGGTGATGCCCCAGGTGGACATTTACGTCGGCGAGCTATCGCCGTTCGGGAGCTCGGTTAGGTTCGCGACAGCCAGCTCGCGCTCCAACGCTTCGGGTCGATTCATTTACAGGCATTCCAAGCCCAACGGAGGCCCGACGTTCGGCGTAGTGGAGGACTCCGGTGCAGAAGACGATTCTCAGGACGTCGAAAAGGACGAAGTGCAGGTACAACCGGCACTGAAGTAGAATGTAGAACGTGATCAGCAGCCGCAAAAAATCGTCTCCGGCTTTGTCTCTGAGATTCAAGCCGTCTGTGGCTACGTCCTTTCCCAAACCTACCTCAGCAGGATTGATAAGAAGTGGTCTAACGCCAGCAGAATTCGCGCGACACCGCAAGCAAACCCCTCCGGTCGAGCACAAAACGCTACCGCTGCTTGATCGCAGAACTCGTGTGCCGTAATGACATTAAGCATGACCCACGTCATCACTGATTCATCGTTACCTTTGCTCCTCCCTCCCCACACCCAAACTCTATGGTGGTGATTGCCGGAACAGAGCCCATCGTGGGACGTCATCGACAACTGCACGACGGCGGTCATCCCCGGCGTCTACAGCCAAGAGTCCAGCCGCTTGCATTTTTTCTCAGACCCGATGCAGCAGGGTTGGCCATGGGTAGCAGTCCCGATTCGACCAAGTACCTCGAGCCGGGCAGTTCGCGGAGTCTTTTGCGTCGACAGGTGTGGGCACGCCTGACGTTTGTTCAGTCAGTCTGTGTGACCATTCGGGGCCATTAGAATTGCTAAACCTCCTGGGGAAGAACGCTGAAGGCTAGCCTTACACTTGCGCCTTTGCCGTAGGCGTACACTTTGGTACAACTCCTTGCTGTCCTTGCGAGAAACAGCTCGATATCTTCGCTTCGTTCTCGCGAACAACAACCCCACCGCCTTAACGTTTCTCGCCCGATGCCGCCCGGCTAGGTTCGAGGACCCCTGGGCAGACGAGGAAACGGTCACGTGGCACCCAGAGAAGGACGTCCTTGCCTTCCTGGAAACTTGCGCTTCGGAGTTGGGCCTCGCCCTCGACCGGGAGGCTAAGAGTCGCTCACTTCGGAGGCTCCGCTCCATTACGTTGGACGAAGACGCAGCGGTAGCGACAGCGCCATCACGGCCTGGATCTTCTTCGCCTCCTGCAGCAGGGAAGACGCCCGGTGGGGGCGTACGAAAACACGGGGCCGCGAAACGAGCCGGAGGCGAGAAGAGCCGAGATGAAAGCGCTAGTGTTTCGTCCGCCCAAGACGTGTACGCGGCCGTTGCGACCTCCATGTCCCAGGCTCTTGTCCATTGCACGCGCTTCGAGGTGTGCTGCTAAAACTGTGAAAAGCAAACGGTATGGTCTGCTTTAGGCCTGGAGGGGAAGGGACGGGGGGAGGGCAGGAGGTGGCTCGAAACGGTTCCATTCCTGTAGAGTCATCGCCACGGTTTACGTATGTTCTAGGAGGATGTGATGGGATTGACTCATGTTTGTGTGGGATATCAAATACCCCTCGCGGCTTGAGCCAATACATCTCGGTTGAAGCGAAGCATGATCGTTTCTCTGTCAGAATACCTCTTTTCACGAATCAAGTGCACTCTCTGCACGTGGCTGCCACATGTAATTTTTTTAATCGCGCGTGCGTCCTCTCCCAATACCATGCGTAAGCGGGGTGTGTACCACCGCCCGTCATTTTGCACAGCAGTGTACAAATCTTTACCATATGGCTACAGTTGCAGCTAAGGACCGTCTCCTCCGGGAAAGAACAAAGCGGGTTGATATGACCGTCCAACTTAGGCTCAAGGCCTCAACCCCCCTTCGACATCTCCGGCCGAAAAGTAGTGTTCTAAGCTTGCGTGCCGGGCGGGTTTATCAGGTGTGGGAGGCGACCCAGCCGTGCGACGAAGAAGGCAGATTTTTCTTGGAACCTTCTCTGGCAGGCCAGCCGCCCCCGTTCGAGGCTGAAGATGGCGACACGCGAGATTAGTGAGTTTTCTTTACCCCGCCCCCCCCGGTGTTTGCCATTGGGGTTGGGTTTTCATTGCTTGGCAACGACGTTGTAAAACAAGCCCCCCCCTCGGTGTTTGCCATCGGGGTTGGGTTTTCGTCGCTTGGCAACGACGTTGTAAAACAAGCCAATTCACTTCGTGAACTCGGCAACCAGGTTACCAGTTTTTTTTTTACCTCTG